GAGTGAATAAATAAACACAGCAACATGGCCAATAAATTAGAGCAAGTTAATGGTTGTGGATTAATAGCACGATTCTGAATAATGAGAAATAATCATGATTTCTTCGTTTAAAATAGAGATCACGATTCTCTACCGATTCTGAAAAGGCAACTAAACAGAAGCCTATTCAAAAATATTTATTTAATTTGAATTAATAATAAAATAAAAAGTTTGAATGAATAATTCAATGACTCACTCATAAAGACTTTACTTGTTTCATTACTGCATGAGTCAGCGCTTGAATGAATGATTCATTGACAAATACATTTAAGTCACAGATAAAGCGTTATTGAAAATCCGGTTCGCGTACCCCGAAGTGATAAAATAAAACAAAATTCTTTATCAAATGTATAGGCAAGACAAGTAGTTTGTTTAGGCATGGTTTGTAGGGAAATTACAAACCTGCGCACACATATATTCAAACGAATATAACTAGAATCAATTCTTAATGCGCATGTGAACGCCATCCGGTCACAGGTTCGCGTTTAAAGTCTGTTTAGAGAGAAGGCCGTCGTCTTAGTGGCCCCTAATGTAATAACAAATGATCATTTTGCTGGAAGTGAATCAATCAAAACCAACTTTAGCTGGAAATAACATTGTTCAAAAATCGCTATAAAGCCAAAACGATCTCTGTTACCGTAAATTGTATGTTTATCTCTGTAAAGCTGCTTTGAAACAATCTACATTGTTAAAAGCGCTATATAAATGAAGATGACTTGACTTGACTTGTCGCCACCTACTGGTGTAACAGTGTAATTGATACAATCTTGATTTGAAACTTCAAGTGCGAAAGTGCTGCGATTTGCACCTTTGCATTTAGAGATCGACCGACAATCAGTTTTACCAATATCTTTCATGATATTTAAGCATTTTTCCATAATCTGGTATCGTTTTTTAAAATATCGGATTCACTGATAACTTGGCGCTAAAAAATAGAGACAAAGTCATGTTCAGTCACGTAAACCACCAAGTCATGTTCAAATAAAGACGTACATGAATTAGATAAAACATCCATGAATGAGTGCATTTTGGAAATAAAACCGCTCAATTTAATTCACTCTCTGTTGTCTTTGCTCATCATTCGTCTTATAAAGTCGCGTTCATAGTGCCGTTCACTCACCGGATTGATGGAAATGCTCCATGGCCACCGTATGCAGCTTTTAACAAGATACACTCATCTTAAACTCCCTAAATAATATTAACATTTACTATATAACCTTTATTTTGCTTATAAACATCTAAATAATTACAGCTGTTTGGAAATCAGTGATCTCCGCGAAAGAAGTTCTGTGTTAAATGCATAAGAACAGCACTCTGTCAAAGTATTTCATAATCTAGACTGACAAAAACATTATCAATAATTCTGATTAATTGTGATGAGTTCGTTAATTTGTTTATTTTTCTGTCAATTTGTGTATTTCAGCGAATTGTTCAGCGTATTCCGTTCTCTTAAAGTTTTTTGCCTATTAAACAACACATTACTGATATTAGTCTGACAATATCTGAAATTAAATTAATTCATCAGTTAAATTTGCATCTAGGACTTTATTTGGTAAAGTGTTTTCTTAATAGTTTATGCTCATGTCTGCTTACTGAATAAACATTAGTTTTTATGAACATTGTGGAAATGATATTGGTAACACTTTACAATAAGGTTCATTAGTTATCATTAGTTATTGTATTAAGTAACATTAACTAACAATGATCAATAAATTTGATACAGTATTTATTAATCTTTGTTAACGTTAGTTAAAAAAAAACAGCTGTTCATTGTTTGTTCATGTTAGTTCAGTGTGCATTAACTTATGTTAACAAATACAACCTTTGATTTTAATAATGTATTAGTAAATGTTGAAATGAACATTAACTAAGATTAATAAATGCTGTAGAAGTATTGTTCATTCTTAGTTCATGTTAACTAAGGTAGTTAGCAATGAACCTTATTGTAAAGTGTTACCATGATATTCATTTCACATAGTTTACATTCAGCATTTTATCATTTTTTTGTATAAGTATACTTATGTGGAAAGTAACCTGACTATTGATGTGCACTTTGTCCCAATTGCAGCAGAACAGGATTTGCAAAAGCAATAGGAGTGTTTTATAAGTGTGCAAATGTAAAAATAACTACTGACTGACAAATGTCATCAATGTAATGTGGCTTTAATAGAAGGCACGATCCTCTAAAGCCTGAAGAGAAGAGAAGCTCCAGTGGAGTGAATGGTCCTGCTCTATGATGGCTATGCTTCTGCTTCTCAGACCTCCTGCCATAAATCTGATCAAACGGGAAATGTTTCCGGCAGGATAAATGGCTGCCTCTCACAGGGGAGCCAAGATTGATAGTCAAAGTTAAATTGTATTAGCTGTGCAGTTTAAATATTTAACCCAGTCTTATCATAACTGCTCTTAACACTTAAAGTAAAATACAGCAGGGGTGTCTGGAGAGGGATCTGCGGACATATATCTCTCACCACCTCCATGCTCCTGCAGTGCTATTGTCCAATAATACTTAAATGGCTTGACTTATTATGAATGGTCATTATAAAGCTCTCTAGAAGATTCGGGGTGATAACAGAGTTAAGTGTTTTCATGGAGGCCACTGCGGGTTTGTGAGCTGCATTGCTGTTAACATAAGGGTCAATGAACAATTCTCTCTTTTTTTTTTGTACAAATCCATTCATTTAAATGTCACTTTTGCACACAATGACTTGAATACACTGTTTCTAAAATGAGCATGTTTTTAATGTCTGAATTAAAGTTTTTATATTTTTTGAGGGGCATTAAGTAAAAAAAAAAAGTCAGTGTCATCAAAATGAAAAAGCCTCATTAAAATAATAAAAGTAAAAAAAAATAGTTTGACATTGAATTTTGTGTGTGTATATATATATATATATATATATATATATATATATATATATATATATATATATATATATATATATATATAAAATATATATATATATATTCAAAATGAAACAAAAAAACATAACACAAGTGAACACAAAAAACATAACCCCTGCAGACCCTCATGAAAGTGTCAGTCAATTAGCCTCCTAAAATATTAATAAATTTACCTTTTTTCTTTTTCTTTGGTTGGTTCAAGGTGTAACTTCATGTGGTATGACCACCCAAAATGTTATATTTATTTATTCATAATTCTACTAACTCTACTAATTCTACATAAACTAACCCCATCATCAAACATTAAACGGCATATAAATCAAAACTGCCAAACATTACCGAATGAAATGTCGAACCCATGAAGAGGTATAGGACTGTGCAAGCTTTGGGTGTGTTGATGGACGTGATGTTTTGATCATCGTTCTGAATCCCATCTGGACGTAGTCTTTGACAAAAACGTGATTTTCTCAGCTTTTGGTTCAACGTTGCTTTTAATGAAACTTACCCACATTTAAGTTACGCTAGAATAACATTATTTAATTTTTTAAAGCAGAGGCTCTGTAATTTCTTTTGGTATATTGTATGTTCAGATATTATATAACAAAATATCCTTTGGGCCATGAAAGTTTTGTGAAAATGATCAAAAATGCTGGTGCTGGTTGGCAACTTTTAAAAAAAAACTGCTGGCGGGAAAAGAGTTAAGATGCGTACACACATACAAGGTGAAAGTAACTGACTACTTTCATTCAATTTAAACTTTCTTGAAAATTCTCTAGTAAAAAAATCTATACTTTCCTTGACAAATTCTAGGTTTTTCCAAACCATATAAAATCAACATGAACACAGAGTGCATTTCTAAGAACTCGTTTTAACCTACATTTTTAAAAGATTTTTCCTTTGCTTTATTGTGGATGTTTGTAACCGTTTGTCACAATAGTGCCGTTGCGGCTTCTCTTTCCTCTCATTTGTTGAAATGAGAGGAGCTGCTCGTTTATGATTCTAATTAGCCGATTAGCGTGGTAGCGTGTCACGACGAGTCTAAATAAACACAGCTGCACAGCTTTTCTCATGGAGCGGCAGATGGGACAGGGAGAGCATGAGACTATTGCGTTGAGAGAATTTTTTTGCAGAGTAGCATGCCGTTTGCCCTTGGACAGTGATCTGATCTCTCACCTGAAGGTAAATGTTTATGACGGAATCATAATTAAAACTCAGACGTTTAATAGGTCCAATTAAAACAATGACTTCATTTACAGCTGAATGAGAGCCGGCCCTATTTATTGGGAAGTGGAGTAATTGAGTTCTGGGCACTTGGACCGTTAACTCCCTCCTGCCTCCTGAGAGCCACTTCAGGTTCAGGGATTGAGGAAGTTTTTGAACACTAGAGGGCGAATGTTTCGAGCTCAAGGGAAAATGAATCTAATCACTATTATGTTTGGAGGAGTGTTTAATCAGAGAATTTCATTTTTGCATTGACAGTTCACAACTTAAGAGTTACTGTTAAGTTCTGAGGGAATAAAAAGCCTCTCTCTACACTTCTTTCCTCAGCGCGTGTCTGTTTTACGGGATTAATGGGTTAAAGAATGAGCGGTTCTCCGTAAGCTTCTCTCCACATGATGGGATCAATGTCGTTAGCCGTGAGATGACGAAGCGGTAGAATATTTCTCCGTGGGCCGAGCGCAGATTGCCACAGGGGCAGTCAACCGATCGATAGGGACAGAGGCGAGCGATTGACTGACGCCGCCCTTTTCCTGCCACGGGCAGAGCATCGGGGGAAACGAGAAATGGCCGAGGGAGGGGAAATGTTGAAATAATGGGCCTTGGAGGCTTTGAGTGCGGGGCGAGTGCTTGCCTGTGGAGGAGAGTGATGGGCAAATTAGGAGCGGCCTGGGTTGGCGATTCTACACACACACACACTCTCATGAGGGGTAATAAAGTATACCACTTTACCCATCTAACTACAGACTAAACTGGCGTTGTGTTCTCCGCACACTTGTTGTTGGTCCACCTCCATAATGCATAAATTCCTCCTGACCTTTTCCTTTTCTTTGTAATTTCAGTGGCTCAGAAAATAGTTGCATCCCGGAAGAAACAACAACTCTCAATCGGACCCTGTAAGTCACTGCCCAATTCTCCAAGCCACTCCTCCGTCTGCGCAGCGCCTGTGTCTGCAGTGCATATCAGTCAGGTGAGTCTCACACACTTAACCTTCCTGTTGAGTTGGGTTGGGTTGTGTGACCTGTTCGTTTTGAAACATTTGTTAAATTATTTCTTGAAATGTTGTGAACGATTTCTTTTTTCTTATTATTTAGGGTTATGAGCAGTGATGGGAATAACGGCGTTATAAATAAACGGCGTTACTAACGGCGTTATCTTTTTCAGTAACGAGTAATCAAACGAATTACTGTTTCCCCCGTTACAACGCAGTTACCGTTACTGGCAAAAAAAATGTGGCGTTACTATAATTGAACTCACTGAAGCGGTTTTCATCCGAGTAGGCTTTCTCTCCGCCATAGGACCTGCAAAGTTTTTTTCTCTGGTGTCTGTGTGTGTGTGTTTATGAGGCGCCGGAGTGGACAAAAGCGAAGCGAACGCCGCGAACTCAACAGTTGCGCAAGAGAGACCGAGGGTGTCCGAGCATTATATAGTTTGTTTATAAATAAATGACATATTTCAGCATTAGACAGCATTATCTATAGCCTATTGGTATCATCTGCAACGTTAATTAATTTACATGGTCATACAAATACAATCTAAAAAATAACCTACAGGGAACGTTCTGTTTAGCTTATAAAATAAAACCCGAAAATAACCTGCAGGGAACATTCACAGAAAACATCTTTGTTTGACCGGTTGTAAACACGTGCGACAAACATGTCTAGAAATAACCTCTAATGATGACGATCGCTATAGGTTATAAAAATAAACCCCCAAAATATTATATTTTAATATTATATATATTTTTTTTGGTAAATTGTTCAGTATTACATTGAGAGAGCACTTGTTAAACTGTTTACTTTTGTTAGGAAGAAAATACTTAGGCTACAGTATGTCTAATAGTTGTGAAGTTGTGTAACAGTTTTATCATTTTAATATGCACAAAGAGTATGTATTTTTTATTTTTTTATTATTCATTTTTGGTACATTTCTTAAGAAGCATAATTTATTTTTAAACGTATTTGTTGGCCAGTTGGGGTCTGTGCGATATTAAGTATAAACCATCTATAATGTTTTATTGTTCTACTATATTAATGCTAATATTTAGAATAATATATTGAATTTAATAGGCATCTCTCACATTGTCCCACAGCAACATTAAAATAGAATAAATTATTATTATAAAACATTGAACACTAATCTACACTATTAAGTGTCCATTTCATTTATTTAACATATTTAATACTGGGGGCATCCAAATTATTTGATATAGGCCTATTTGATTTTTTTTTTTTTTAAGTAACGCAATAGTTACTTTCTCTGGTAATTAGTTACTTTTATAATGATGTAACTCAGTTACTAACTCAGTTACTATTTGTGAGAAGTAACTAGTAACTATAACTAATTACTTTTTTTTTAAGTAACATGCTCAACACTGGTTATGAGTGTGCATTCAAAGTGTTTGGATGTGTTTTGGAAAGGCTGGACAAATTGTTACAACTTTTGTGTTGGAGTCAAATTGACCCAATTGGTTTCCATGCAAAACCAGTCTGGTGTAAAAAAAAAAAAAAAAAAAACCTTTTATTGTAGCTTGTCAAACACTCAAATATGTAAAATACATGAGAACTTGTTAAATTTAAGACTCACATTTTACTCGTCAGTTGAAGTCTCGTCTTCTGAATAATCCAAGGAAAATTCACTGTTTCTTTATCTATGTTTTATCCCCCTGCTGACAGTAATCCTCTTCCGCATGGCTCAGTCCTCATTGATTTCTCATTAGCAGTGTACAAGTGAGCCTGTGTATGTGCAGCCAAGCTTAGAGAGGCTTAGGTGAAGCTCAGGAAAAAGGAGGCCTATGGTGTTTCTATGTAACATGAGATTATTTTCTTGCTAAGTCATTCTCGCTCTGTGTGTGTGTTACAGACCAGTAATGGTGGAGGCAGTTTGAGCGATTACTCCTCTTCCGTTCCCTCCACTCCCAGTACCAGTCAGAAGGAACTGCGTATCGATGTACCCCAAACTGCCAACACCCCTACACCCGTCCGCAAACAGTCCAAACGACGCTCCAACCTCTTTACGGTCAGTCTGCTCTCCCATTAGACATATAGGCGTGATTATAATTGTAAATTAGTTTATATAGTTTATAAGTAACTAACTTTATAAGTAAAATTACAAAACTACAACAACAGCAGTTGATTTAATTGCATTGAATACAAAATCAACAAAAATAAAATTGATAATATATATATATGTATTTGATAGATTTATTTATATATTTATTTTTTATGTACAATTCTGTTCAAATGATTGGGGTCAGTAAGTTTTTAATTGACTTAAAAATTTAATACTTTTATTCAGCAAGGATGCTTTAATGTTGCAAATGATTTCGGTTTCATCAAAGAATCCTGAAAAAAAAAAGAATCACTTTTCCACAAAATATTAAGCAAGCACAACTGTTTTAAGCATTAATAATGATAAGTAATGATAATGACAAATTTGAGCATGTTCTGGTGAGACGACTTTCAAAAATATTTCAAAATCTTACCAACGTCAAACTTTGAATATATATATATATACATTTTATTTATATATATATATACACACACACATTTTATATGATCAGTAACTCCTTTAAATTGACAGCCATTCTTCCGGTCTTGTAAGCTCTTTAGTAGTGTACGTCCTGCACATGTACCACAAGTCTTGGTTTCAAGAAGTTGGGGGGGTGGGGTCACGTCAAGGTCAAGTTGACCCCTCCCACACCCCCTTGACTTTTGAAGTCAAGAGTGTGCCCTGCACTCCAAACTGGATCTGGTCTGAAGTAAGGCTCAATTAACAGCTATCTTGCCTTTGACTAAAATGATGTCTTCTCCCCCACAGTCTCGGAAGGGAAGCGAACCAGACAGGGAGAAGAAAGGGATGGATGGCCGCGCAGACAGCATTGGAAGTGGCCGCGCTATCCCAATTAAACAGGTAGGGTCTGGCCGGCCGTCTGGGCTGGTATAATTGGAGTCCAACAGCGGCGTATTGTGGACGAAGGGGCCTCAGATCAGTACTCAGACCCGCGAGAAGCCCGTTTGATGCCATCTTCTTGATTAACAGTGAAAGCACGCACTTGACATCAATTAGAGCCAGGCTCTCCCGTGTGCTGAAATGAGATCATTAGTATAAGATGTGGGAAGGGATTTTTCTCTCCTCAATGCACTATACCCCCCCCCCCCCCCCCCCCCCCCCACAGCCAAAACCCCTACACCATCTCACTCTTCCACCTTCTTTTTCCCTGTCAAGCGTGGGGATAGAAAAAAAGCTAAGAGGAGCCTAATGAAGTGCAGTCTACCAATCTGCATATGGGCCCATCTTTCCCATCAGCCCTCCCCGACAAGTGGTGTGTTTGGGGGGAATGAGAAGCAGCATGTGATGTGAAGATGACCCCCCCTCCTCTACACTGTGGGAGAGATAGTTTGACTTGGCCTTAATTTGTCACAAACAAGGGTGTGTAGTGAGAGAGTAAAGAAAAACGCTAGCTGGCGTGGGGGTGGGGGGGGGCGAGATCATCCTCTGCGCATCTCAGCTGGAGTGAAAGAATCAGGTAATTAGCGGCACTAATCGTGCCCTCTCATGTCAGCGCCGTGGCCTTGTTTGTAATTTTCTAATGAACAAATTGCATCTCTGATTAAAGCTGCCTTTAAGTGAGATCTGTGTTTATTAGCGCGCCACAGCGGAGAAGCGCTTCCGCCGTCCACCGTACAGCGCAGCTGGCGTTCAAGAGCGAAGCTGCAGACCTTTTGGATGTGTGGGTTGCGTTCGGAACCCGCTGGGTTCACATTGAGAGGCTCCATTGGAGGCAAGGACATTTGCACAAGACTCCTGGGCAATGAAGCGGAGCTGTAATCGGCCCCTCTTTTCTGCAAATTAGACATCGTAGAATAGATTGCGTCTTCGCTGACATGTGTGGCATTGTAATACTAAAATTCGGCTTAGTGCAATCATAATGCGAATGTCGAAATATGACCTATGGATCAATGATGTGACATCGATTCCCCCCCCAGCCCCTCCCCCCCCCCCAAACATTAAAATACATTAAAATGCAAGTTATACATGCAATCACTTTAACTCTTCGATGATTCTATGATTTTTTAAAAATCATAATGAAGAAGAAAATAATCATTAAAGGAATGCAATTTTTGTTTGGCATAATATTTTATTATTATTTCTTACAAAAAACATACTTAAAAAAACTGCTCTTCAAATTTGAAAAACATTTATCCGCCACATGTTAAGTGGTGGGACATTCATGAATTAAACTGTAAATAACTATATATTATATAGAGGACCCTCATGCAATAGGATTAAAAAAAAAGAAGAAATTAATACTTTTATTCAGACATTACCTAGATGGAAAATGGCTGCCCAGAAGCGTTACCTAGATGGCCGCTGAGCGAATTGCCTTAAAGGGACTTTGGAGGTACTTCTTTTTGGAGGCACACAAGCGAGTGCTAATGCTGCCAGCAGTGATCTCTCACCTCCTGCGGCTCTATTTGCATAAATCCTGTTAAAGTCAGTGGCAGTTAATGAAGAAGAAATGAGGCTGGCCCGGCTACAGCGGTGCTGAGAGCTGCGCGCCGCACTAGTGGCAGATGGGAAGGCTGAGCTATAGCAGGCAGCTGTGCGGAGAAGAGAGCAGCACAGGGTTCTTCTGACTATAATCTGACTCTCTTCCGACTGGGCTTGCGCTGGGATCATTTGTATGTGCGATGCCAAGAGCAATCAAGACGATAACGCTTGTTCTCAAGAGAGAGGGGTGGCTGCTGTTCCCCAACATGTAGAACAACCGTGTTATATGACATTAGAGCACGTCATTCGCGTAAATGATTACAATTTCAATTTAACACTTAAAGGGATTGTTCATGCAACAATTTTAATTCTGCCATCAATTATTCAGCCTTGTGTCGTTCCAAACACATAAGACTTTCGTTCATCTTCAAAACACAAATTAAGATATTCTTAATGATTTCTGTCCCTCCATTGAAAGTCTAGTCACCAAAAACTTCTGACGATTCGAAACGTTCATAAAAAGAATGTAAAATAGATCCATATGAATGAAGCGGAATCGAGTCTTCTGAAGACACACAATCGGCTTATATGATGAACAGATTGAATATAAACATTGATCAGCAAACATAGAGCACTCAAATATGGTAAACGGAAGCTCAACCGTGCTTGACACGTGAGAACAAACCTTATTGGTTCTTGCGGAAGCTCAAACATACTGGCGTGACACATTGTTGGTTCTCGGGGATCAATCAAGCATGTTTGAGCTTTTGTTTACCAAATTTGAGTGCTTTATGTACGTTCTCTGATCAATGTTTTTATATATGAATAAAAGCCTAAATTAAATCTGTTCATCTTCATTAGACTTGGATTAAATCACTTGTTTTATAGTGATTTCTTTCCGAGTTTTGGGTGAATAGACTTTCAATGGAGGGACTCCAAGTCTTATGTTGAATTATAATAGGGAATCCTCATTATGTGCTCTTGTTTTATAGGTACCGAAAGCAAAGTTTTATTTAAATGTTACATGTATTAGAGAGCCTGCAGTATAGTGAGGCATTAGCGGATAGAGAGCGTCTCACGGGTGGCCTGGCGCAGAGCCATATCTCTGAAGCATCTCTCAGCCTCTTGACACTGCAGGTACATAAATGAGGGATTAATTTCCTTGGTGTCAGACAGAGCCTACACACACACACACACGCACACTTACGCACACACTCTTGTGCTGATCAGAGGCTCCAGTGGTGCCCGTGTCCCTCATCTCATGAGGAGATCAATCAGAGCTCCCCAGCCTCTGCAGTGCACAGTGTTTCAGTTCTCCCTGCTGTCCTCTCGCTCACTCACTGGTGCTTCAGCTTCATGTTACTCCTTATTGAATCCCATGGCTGGCCCAAAGGCACAGTTTTGGATTTTCTATGCTGATTTTGGGCCAAAATTTGTGGAGTAAACGATTGAAATAGGACTGCACATTTTATTTAAATATATATATTTTAATCTTTTTATTTAAATAAATATATATATGCTGCATTTGGGATTTGAACTGTGATATGATAAATGTTTATTGCTTAGAAATCAAGGCAAAATGATAACCCGTGCGGTCACATTGTACCTAGACTTGAATCTTTTTTGAGTTCGCTTTTCAGTTGTGATATCGTCTTATTCTACCTTAAATTCAACAATTTTTGGAACACAATTAACATGAATATTAACAAAATATTAGTTATAATAATAATTTATATTGTAATAACTCTAATGATAAACATAATAACATACATATTATTAGAATATTATATTTGAAAAATAAGTTTATTATTATTATTATATTGAACATTAGGTATTTGTTTTATAGTACAACAATAATAATTATAATTCAAATGATAAATTATTGTATTGCTAAATACATTTATTTTTATTTTATTTTAATATTAGTATTATTAGTAGTAGTAGTAGTGCAATAATATTATTTCCTTTTTCACAATTATTTTAATTAGTTCTTATTTTCTTAATAATAGTAGTTGTTATTATAATATCTATTATTATGAAAGATATGGTTGTATAAAATGTAATATTTTCTTTAAATGTTAGTAAAATGATAGTGTTACAATTACATTTTTGTTGTAAATATGTAAATAGTTATTTTGTTTCTGCCTTAAATCAATACATTATTAGCTAACTGTGTAATTTCTGAAATGCATAACTTGGACACCGTCACCTCTGATAACAGATCACTCTAAATTGTAATGTCGACATGCATTTTCCGTGAAGCTGCTTTGAAACAAACGATATGTATCGTCAAAAGCGCTATACAAATAAATGAGAATTGAATTGAATTGGTGGTAAATTGAATAAAGACTTCAATAATAAGTTTCAATAATCATACCAAGTCATATCACAATTTTCATTATACTTGAATTAATTGTGCAGCACTAGATGCTGCAGAAGTTAATAGATGTACAGTATGTTCAGATCCTGCAGACTTCTATGGACGCCATTCTATATGGGACTGCCCATTGGTCCTTTAATCAAACTTAGTTTAATTTATAATATCCTTTTGACCCGTGACATCTTCGAATCTCCTCAGAAAGAGACTCATAGAGAGACAGACACTGCAGACAAGCATCCGTGGAGCGGCTGACCACAATCCCTCCATCAGATCAGTGACTGCGTCTGCTGCTGTGGCATTTCCCATCTAATTGGGCGCTACGTTCAGGCGATGAGTGTTTCACCAACAGTATGAAAGCGGCCTGGGCACGTCCCCTCACAGACGATAACGCAGCCGAGCAGTTTGCGCTCAGAGGCACGGGGCAGAGTTTCGTTTGGGAATTGGATGTTAATTGATTTGATAATTCCCTGTGGTCTTTCCTCTTACATGCTCGCGTCTCTCTCGATCTTCCTCCTCGCCTCTCACTAGCCACTGCAGGCTGCTGGGCGTTAGACCTGCTCTCCAATTAGCGTGTGCTTCCCGAGTCTACCTGCCTCGCATTAACACCTCTTCAGTGACCTCTTTTGGTCCAGGAATGTGATTTTTATAATGTGATTTCACCAGAAATCCCTCACTCACGGCACAGCATCAATCTCCGGGATGAACTTTTATGTGCTGGCTCTCAGCTGCACATCGTTGCCGGATGTTGATGAGGGACGTCAACTTGTAATCTCTTTGGCAGATGTCTGAGTGTATTAGATTTATGGTTCAGCTGTTCCTTGAAGGTATGGCCGTAATTGTTAGTGAGTTACTCACACACAGATGAGTCCTGAACTAAATCGATTGCTTTCGATGCTTTGGATTTTCTGTTTCACTCAACACTCTCTCTCTCAAAAAAAAAGTAAGTTTCCAAAAGGGGGTTTTCGCAGTGATGCCATAGGAAAACCTTTTTGGATTCTCCAAAACATCTGTTGGTGAATTTGTAAATGCTTGTCCAGTT